TGCCACTCAATCCATCAAGACAATACTTGATGCACCTGATTCCCACAGCTGCCGACTAGGGTAAAGGTGCATTTTTTGGGATGATATAGCCTTGTGAAAAATAATACAAGTAACAAAAAATACTTGTGTCAATATTCTGATTTTTTTCCCATACTATTGCATATGATTGAAGTCACTTCTTTTGTATTTGCAGCTTTATAACTCAAAAAATTTTGCTAAGAGGGCCATCGTTGTTGCAAAAACACTCTAAAACCATTGGATATTTGGATGAGGATTTTGTTTAACTAAAAAACTATAATATCCTTAATTAGTTATTGGGATAATATCGTTTTTCATTGTAAAAAATGACTATAATATCCTGCAGGGTCCTGTCTATAAAGCACCATCTTGTAGCATTGATGGAAGGAACTTCGACTATAATGCAATATGAGATTTTAAATAATAGAAGACATATGTTAACGAAGGTAAAATGACATTTGTTTCTGGTATACCTTTGAGAATCTTATATTTTTCTTTAAATGATGTCTGTCTTGTAAATATTTTGCATTAAATTGAACTCCATCATATATTTTCAAGGATACTTTGGGTACAATGAAGCTATGAGAAATTACAAAAGGCATAGTTATTACAAACTATGGAGGGGCTAGTGGTTCATTTTTATTTGATTTGATTCATATATGTTGTGGCTTCTTAGGTGGGTGGGATTGTAACACCCCGTCCGGTTCAAACCGGAGCGTCACCGCCACGCCACACCGTAAGGTTCGTTCATCAACCAACGAGTCTTAAGCTGTGGTGCTAAGGCTAAAATAATAAATACAAACAACTAATAGATACTTAGAATTAAAGTGTACCGGCTTATCATTTAAATAAATAAAGTTCGAGTAAAAAACATAAGTTGGAAATAGTTCTTAGACATTAATAATGGATTTCAAAAACATTTTAGAAGATAAAGTAGTTAGTTCCCCCTGATGGATCATATGACGTGGATGCATCATTTAGGTATAACAGAAACATGATCACCTACAAAAAGGTTGTAAGAAGAGGGTTAACACAACGGTTGTGTAAAAGCAATTAATCGAAGATAAATTAATACGGTATAATGCCACAAAATCATTTAAAGAAGATAATTTGAATAAGATAACACATATCACATAAGGATAACTCACACACACGAGTCTTTTAGCCTCTCCCTTATATCTCATTTTCATTCTCAAATAATAGTAATGAGCACATCACGAAGAAAACTCCACTGGACCTTAATCAGGGCCGGCTCGACCCAGTTTTCCAACTTTATTACTTCGTAGACACGTCACATAGTTTCACATAACAAACATAGAGTCACAACTCTCAAAGGAAAATCCACAATATGTACATAATGGTTCGAAACCCAAAATACACTTAAATTAATTTATTATTAGTTTGCGAGGGACGCCATACGGCCCACAACCCTCTAGTCTCCAATATAACATACCAAGAGGGGATTGTACGCAATTCAACCCTCCATCACGGATGACGGTCAAAAGACCTTTTTCATCGTGAATGACAGGCACCTCGGAATCACCCAAAAAAGAACCTGCCATCTCGATCCCTCGACCTAGCCCATTCGGGATTTAGTTCAAATTTAGCTAGTTATCCTAAAATACCGGTATAGCCTAACGTGTTTGCAAGACACAGAGGTGGAAGACTATGCCTTATCATCCAAACAATCGATAAGTTGATCGGACTCGACGGGTAGTTTCAATTATCAATTTGACAAAATACTCAACATACTCTTAGGCAAATTTCAAAAAGAGTGTTTTAAACTCAAAATATTCCAATTATCAGCATTTAACCATGCAAAAGTAGGATATTAGACTCAACAAGTTTGTTATAATCTCTTTATTTCGCCAAATAAATATTCGAAAAATATGTCAATCACAATAGACATGGTCTAACTAAAAAAAAATCATAATATTTAAATATTGTTACGTACGAATTTTATAATTAGGTTAAAGGCCCAAGATATAGGAAAATTTGGGCCTGTAATCGAGTACGTTTGGTGGTTAAGGAATTTTCGGAGTGATTGGCTAGACCGGTTGTCCTTCTGAGCGAATAAGCGGGTCGGTTGGTCCGTGGTCCGATAAGCAAGTCGGAAGGTCCGCGGTCGGACAGGCAGGTCGGTTGGTCCACAGTCGGATAAGCAAGTCGGAAGGTCCGCGGTCGGACAGGCAGGTCGGTTGGTCCGCAGTCGGATAAGAAGGTCGAAAGGTCCACGGTCGGACAGGCATGTCGGTTGGTCCGCGGTCGGACAGACAGGTCGATTGGTCCGCAGTTGGATGAGCTAGTCGGCTGCTGTGGAGGTCGGCTGCTGCGGAGATCGAGCGAGAGAACAGTAGCTTGGTCGGTTGGGTTACGCGGCTGGTAGGACGGTTGAAAACACGTGTCAACAAAAGAGGAATTAGTAGACGGTTGAGAGTAGGTATTGTAACCGTTCAGGCAACGGTTCCAGGTATCGTTTCTGAGAAATATTTAAGGATTGAGGTCAGCAATTGGCAGGGTATCTTCAATCATCTTCAAACGACAACAAAGTCAGTGATTCGAGGATCATCCTTTAATTTTCAGTTTGTAGCATTTATTTTCCAGTTTACTTATGTACCGTACAGTGTTTAGAGATTCCTAATTTCAGGCACTAATTATATCAAATTCGGAGATAATTTCTTATTTTCGGATTTTCCTTTTTATTGTTGAAAAATTGTATCAACAAATATAATCGTAAATCTTTTTCCAAAAATCATAACTAGGTTAGGGAAAAACTAGGGTTTCAAACTCATCCCATAAATTTTACGATTTTCAATTTAAAATACAATAATAATCTTCACATAAGCTTAGATGACATTATAATCTAACTTTCTAGAAAAAATTAGCAAAATCTAACACTTTTAGGGCAAATTCATTTGACAACAATTTTGAAAAAAATATCAATAGAAAGGGTTTAGGGATTATAACGTATCATCTATCTAAGATTAATCCCACTTACCTTAAGAGAAAAGACCAGAAGGAAGAATTTTGAAGAAAAAGAACTCCAAGGAAGAAGGGGTTTAGGGATTAGAACGTATCATCTATCTAAGATTAGAACTTATGGCGTGTTTGACAATTAGATGATAGTTGTTAGCTGATTCAATTAGCTGATAGTTGTTAGCTGATTCAATTAGCTGGTTTGACTAGCTTATTCGATTAGCTGTTTGTATTAAAATGTTTGGTAAAACAACTGTTTGATATTAGTTGTTTATACGTAAAATGACAATTGAGGACATTTTTATTTTATTTTTGTTTCTAGTATATTCAATTATGTTATTTTGAATTTAGAATGTTTAAAATTTTTTGTTATTAGTTATTGAAAATTGTAAAAGTGTTTTTATTACAGTTAGATTTAAAAAAATAATATATTTTTATTAAAATATATAAATAGTTTTTTCTATTGAAAATGATGTAAAATATAAAATAATAAATTTTTCGTGTATATATTTATTATGTTAGTTATCGATTAGTTCATTATATTTAGTATAAAATTTATATAATGTAATTTTAATATAAAAATAAATTATTAATATTTATATTTTCTATTTTATGCTTATTTTAATAAATTTATATATTTTACAATTAAAATAATTTTTATATAAAAATTAATTATTTGAAATTTATAAAAATAAAACTATATTATAATAAAGTATTCTAATATAATTAATAAATAATCAAAATATATTTATTTGTGTAAAATGCATAATAAATTTTTAAGGGCATATAAGGAATAAAAGAATTTTTATAAAGTAAAAGCTATTTCAAAATGTTGGGTAAGTTAGCTTTTCAGAAATTAGTTTTTTGGGTCCAAAAAGCTATTCCAAAAAGCTAATTTACCAAACACCTAAATTAGCTTTTTGACTGGTCAAACAGCTAAAAGCTGTTCAATAAGCTAAAAACTTTTCAAAAAATTATTTGCTAAACAACTCCTTAACAACTATCAGCTAATTACCAGGCCCGATGGAAAGAATATTTAAATTATAATTTAAAACTATAATTTAAATACAAAAATTTAAAATATAAAAATTGAATTATATTACAAACTTAAAATTATTAAATATAATTTAAATTTTTTATAATAAATGATGAAAAATACAAATAATTTAACATTGAATTGTAATTTTATTTTTTAATTAATATATCATTCATAAATTAAAATTTTTAAAGATAATCTATCAAATTTAATTATATATATTTTATTATATAATTAAATTTTTTAAAATATCATTAATAAAATTTAAAATAAATTATAAAAATTCTATAAAAAATACAATTATTAATAATATATCATTATGAATAAACTTTACAATTTAAAAACAAGTTTGTTTCTTCTTTTGTTTTTATTTTTGTTTTTTAAATAGCTGTTTTTATAAAAATTTATTTAAATGTAAAATCTGTTTTCTCTAATTTTCTTCATACATCTTTTCAAAATAATTACTCATTTGTCATCCAATTGTGTGTCTATTTGATCGGACACAAATTTAAAAAAAAAAAGAAATAAAAATAAAACTTTTTAATTTTTTGATAAAATAAAAAATAAAAAAATGATATTTTTATACTAAAAAAACAAAATAAATTTAAATAGCAACAAAAAAAAAAAAAAGAAAACTGAAAATAATAGATTTGAATGACAGAATCAATAATACATTACACACATATACATTAGCTATTTTTATATTTCCTATACCATATATATATATATAATAAAATAAAAATAATAAAAAAAAATAAATCTTTTTCAACTTTTGGCTTAGTAAGTTAATCCAAACGTAGAAAAGTGCAAAGCCTAACACAGATCTGAGTTATAAATATATATATATATATATATATATATTTTACCCTTTTTATTTATTTTGCACAAACCTATCTATCGCCGTCTTCATTTGTCTCCCCAATCGACACCACACAAAGAGCGATTTTGCGGAGGAGGTATGAGGAAATTCGATCCATGGCCGGTGTTCTTCAAGCGGGAGTGGAATCGCAACTGGCCTTTCCTTGTTGGATTCGCTATTACGGGAACTATTATCACCAAGTTCTCCCTTGGCCTAACTGGTGAGCTGCTTTTGTATTTGGAGTTGCGATTGATTGATTGATCGATTGATCCTTGTTTTTGTGTTTTGTGGTTATCTCTTTTGGTTTGGTTTGATTTTGATTTTTTTGTATCTTCGCAGAGGAGGACGTGAAGAACTCCAAATTTGCGCAGCGGCACAAGTAAGGCTTTTGATTATTTTACTGATAAAATGTAAATTTACATCTATTCTTTGGTTTGATTATTTGATTGATATGAGATAATTAACAGCGTTTTAGAATGACTGATTTGCCTCTGATTTACATTTTATTGTGTGTTGGAAGACAAGTAATTGGTTTTGATACGAACAATAATATTTTGATAGCCATTGTTTTGTTTTGAGCATGATACCATCTATCAAGCACAAACAATTATTTGGATGAAATCAATCTATGAAATGAAACACTTGCTAGTGTGTGTATTTCCCATTTTAAGTGTTGCATTTTGCCATGATTCTGTAAAATCAATAGTTTATCATAGACACTGTATTAACATGAATGAAAGAATCTGCTGCTTATTATCCTACTTCCCTTATGATCAATCACACAGTTATCAAGATCTCCAATATGTTTGTTGTTTGATGGTTGATCAACAGTGAAATCTGTAATCTCCATTGACTCAATTCATTTTTAAAATTAGTGCATGGTTTTTGAGATTGAGATTCATCAAGAATTAATTATGCATAACCCTACCCTAGTTACAGAAAGTTAAGTTACAATAGCATCAAATCAAAACAATAATGGGTATAAGTTAACTAACATCGGAGATGGGAATGGAAGGGAAGGGAGGTGAAGTGCAGGGGGTTTGTCTGTTCTGTTCTGTTGGTAATATCATTAGTGTGTTAATTTGTGGGATTTTGGTTTTGAATAGTAAAATTTTGAATTGAAATAGTTGTTTGGTGTGATATAATAAATGAAAAAAAAATGTTTGATTTTATGTTTTGAGGAGAATGAAAGAAAATTGGAATAGTAAACTCAAAACCGAAATCGCACAAGTAAACACACCCTTATTTTTTATTTTTAATATCGACCTTGCATTTAATTATAATTTGCATTGTAGTGTATAAGGCCCTACCTGAGAGCATTTGAAAGCAATTCTTCTTCTGGACTCTTAACGAATATTATATTTTCAAGTTGCCAGATTTCTGTATGTCATTTCCCTTTTAGTTAATTTAATTAACCGTCTCACCTAAAAGATTAAATTTAAAGGGATACGCATCATCTATTTATTTATATATTACGGGAGTCAGCCAACAGTTTTCTTGCGTGTATCACCTCCTATTTTATTTTGGATTGTTCGATATGATGATTCTATGGCACTGTATTCTTTCTGCAGGTGAAAGGGGTTAGTGAGTGATTTGGTTGCTGATGCATTGATAGTTTCTTTGATTTTCACTTTTTGCCGTATCTCCTAGATGATATATCTAAAATAAATCTTGCGAACATTTCAGCTGAATCCGTAGTATTTGTGAGTTGATTTCATTAAGTTGAGGTGTATTCGTGATGAAGAAAGAAAATGCTCCTCATTGTTATTTGAACATTTTGATTGAATGAATGATATTGAACTGATTTCGAACATATTGTAATAATGAATGTTCTTTGCTGTTTTCCCAATGTAGTTAGGACTTAGGAGTAACAAATTAACAATTCAACAATATGTTCGTCGTGGCTGTTAGGGTGTGTTTGGTTTAGGTTTGAAATTGAATTTCTTATTTGAATTTTAGTTTAAATAGTCGTATGAGTAGATGAATTTAGTTTTGAAACTAAAACCAAACAAACATACTTCTTTATTATGCTACTATTATTCAGGATCATTGCTACATTATCAAAACAGGGGTGTGTTGTTTGGGAGTTTGGATTTTAAGATTAAGATTTGAATATAAAATTAATTTTTAATATAGTTTAATATTTTAAAAAAATTGAATAAAATAGTACAAATTTTAAAAAATCTTCCAAAGTAACACACCATAGCTATAGAGAATGACTAGTTACGCAACAACAATAGTGACTATTTACAATGACTTTAGGGTTTGTTTCTTAAACATAGTTTCATCAAATTTTACTATTTAAACTTTGCGATTTAAGAAAATATATATTTTTTCTCTCGCAAAACATTCCATCAAATATTATTTTCATATCAAATTCAAACTAAATTTTTTCTAAACTTATTAAAAGAAACATTAGTAGATAATTAAGAATGTATTAGTTAAAATAATTATTCGATAATATAAATAATTATAAATTAAGATTAAGATAACTAATTAGTTTAATTAAAATTTAAAAAAAAATTAAAAATTTTAAAATGAGATTAAAGTGTGTAATCATTTTCCAAAAAAAAAAGTGACATATAGGACGAACAGAAACGACAACATGGACATGGTATGTAAGACGGAGGGAGTAATATTTTCAATATTCTACTTATGCTCAATGAAATGTTTGAATCAAATAAATGAAAGTTGAGAAATAAATTATTTCTATTTATCTTATTTCCCTCCTCTCCAATATTCAAAGAAACAGAGAGAACCGAAAGTTGAGTATTATTTTTGTTTTAATATTTTTGTATTTTTTTACTATTTAATTTATATAATATTTTAAAATTATATTATTTCAACTTTATAAAAATCACATTAAATTTATTATCAAGTATTTAATTTATAAGATTTGAAAAGAAAATTGTACTAAAATATAATTTTACAAAATATCTTATATAGTTTATAATTTTTGTTAAGAAAAAGTCGACAAAAATATTTTTTATGAACGCTCACTCATTAAAATTCTCCGGATTAATCATTTATTCTCAATTCATTCAGATAGATGCATTCTTTTTTTATATTTTTAAATTAAATTTTTTATTTTACCAAACAATATAATTAATTCTCATTCTCTACCTAATTCTTTTTGTCTGCAATTTCATTCTCTAGTTACATTTTCTCTGCGATTTCATCTTTTTTAACCAAACGCCCTAAGTGATCAAATTGGATCACTCTTCAAGCTTCAATTTTATTTTATTTTATTTTGTTTTTTAATATATGAAGCTAACCTTTAATACTTCCTCCGTCATTCAAATATATTTTGTTATTTTTTTTTTGGGTTATCATCCAAATTTATTCCCATTTTTCTTTTTAGTAAAAAAATATCATTTTTTTTTTTTTTACCAAAAAAAAAAATCTATATTTTACATATTTTTCTTAAAACTCTTGGCCCGTCAAATGAGCACACAATTGAATTGGATTGGATTGGATGACGAAGGGAGTATATTTTTTCTGGATTATTCAAAGTCAAGCATTTAAATAGAGTTAGAAACAATATCTAAAGCTAACTTGGATTGGCATTATAATTTCAACTTTTGTTATTCAAATGTTAGATCACATGAGTCTCATTTAAAATTTTCTATTTATATTTCTCTTTAATAAATAAACATGTTTTATACATTTAAAATTTTCTATTTTTTATAAAAATTAATTTATATTAAATATAAATAAATACTTATATTTTTTTTATTGATTTGTATAATATAAAATTTTATTCTCTACAAAATAATGTTTATATTGTGTATATTTGATTGAAATATGAGTTTGTTCTTTTGTTATTTTAAACTGAAATCAACTTTATTTATTCTACACAATTTTAAATAAAAATATATTATTTCATCTTACAAAATATTATTTAAACAAAATTCAAATCTCATTTCAAATTAATTTTAAATTACAACCAAAACTCTTTTTAAACATATATTTAAAATTTTTAAATCATAAATATTATTCCCTCCGTTTCAAACAAGATGCAACATTTGTTTTTGGTATGAGTTTTAGGTGAGTAGTATTAAGTAGAATAATTTAGAAATAATGTGATATGATGGAGAAAGAAATGTATATTTTATTTTTTTACTTGGATGATGTGAGGGGATAAAGTGCGGAATAGATATTAAGTATAATTAATTATTTTCTATTTTAGAAATATTGCAGGGTGTACGAGACATAAAAAAAAAAAAAAAAAATCTTGCAAAGTGTTTGGCACGAAGAGAGTACATTATATACAAATCAAATATTAAATAAATATATTATTTCAAACTCAACTCCTAGCTTAAAATTCAACTTATTTCTAATATTTTATTTTTCCAATCAACGTGGATATGGTTTGTCCCTAATTTTCCATTGGATCAACTTTCTCTTACGAATGTCAAATGAGGCGGATTAGTCCCGATCCGCCCCGGATCCATTTTTAATGGGGCGGATTCGGATCTAAATGATATGTTTTGGGGCAGGTTGTGAATTTAAAATTTTAAATTCGGCCGATTCGGGGCGGGTTTACGAATTTTACTAAAAATCCGTTCCAATTCGGACCCGGACTCAAACCCGGATATTTTTTAAAATTATTATAACTAATATATATGTACATTTATATAATATAAATATATTATTTATTTACTTAAATAATTTTAAATATAAAATTCAATTAGTCGCCTACTCCAAATAATTTTTTAAAATTATTATACCTAATATATGTATATTTATATAATAAAAATATATTTTATTTATTTGTTTATCTTATTTTTATGGATCAATATTTTATTGTTTTTAAATTTATTTTTTTTGCTTTTAATGCTATTTGTTTTAGTATTCGATTGTTAAAAAAATATTTATTATTATATATTTTTTTAAAAAAATGGATTTGCCGGGTTGGCCCCGAACCCGGAGGGTTCGGGGCAGGTCTCGGAGCCTAATATTTTCTAATGGGGCGGATCTCGGGGCTTGCAGAACCCGTCCCGTTGACATCCCTACTTTCTCTTCTACTTTATTTATCTTATTATACATATTTCGGATAAGTAAAAAATACATATGAACCCTTGTCCAATTTATATTTATATTTATATTTTTTATTTTTTTGTATTTCTTTAAAAATCTACAAAAAATATATATTATAACATATAAACACGAGATTGTACGGATCTGTCACTTGAAAAGTCTATCATGTCCCTCATTTCGAAAATGACAATTTTGCCCTTAACCTACCTTTGTACTGGCTTGAAAACACGTTTTGGAACCGTTAACATATAAACACGAGATTGTACGGATCTGCCATTTGAAAAGTCTATCATGTCTCTCATTTCGAAAATGACAATTTTGCCCTTAACCTACCTTTGTACTGGCTTGAAAACACGTTTTGGAACCGTCGCCAGCAACCGCCGTCGACCGCCCAAGACGAAACGTTTTGAAACGTCGTCTGGTCGATTACATCAACCGCCTCGCCAAACCCCATCACCAATTCCAGAACTCAAATAGCCCAACCGACCAATCCATAGACCAATCGCTAGACCAAAAGGCTCCTTGGCCGCACCCACCAACCGAGCTCTTTATGTACCTGCGGACCAACTGACTTGGCTATCTGGCCGCAGACCAGCGGACTTACTTTATCCGACTGCAGACCATCAGACTTGTCTGTCCGACCTACTGACCATTAGACTTGTCTGTCGGACCTGTTGACCATCAGACCTGTTTGTCCGACCGCTAACCATTCGACCGATGCCAGACCGACTAGAGCAACCGATCTTGCACCTTCCGACCTGCCTAGCCGATCGCTAAGCAACCGACCTAATCATCCGACCAGAGACCAACCGACTAGACCAACCAACCGAGGACCTTCTGAACCGTAAACCCTAAAACCAGTTCCAGAACTCAAATAGCCCAACCGACCAATCCAGAGACAAATCGGTGGACAAAGACTCCTTCGCCGCACCCACCAAGCGACCTGTCTATCTGCCTTCCGACCAACTGACTTGCATATCCGACCGCAGACCAGCCGAGCTACTTTATCCGACCGCAGACTATCACACCTGTCTGTCCGACCTGCTGACCATCAGACCAGTCTGCCCGACCGCTAACCATCCGAACGAGGTCTAACCGACCAGATTAACCGACCGTGAACCTTCCGACCTGCCTATCCGACCGGTAACCAACCGGCGCTGAACCCTAAACGAAGGAGAAACCGACCGAGGACCTTCCGGCCTTCCTATCCGACTGCTAACCAACTCACCTGACCATCCGACCGAAAACCAACCCACTAGACCAACCGACTAGACCAAGAGAACTGAGGGCAAACACCAGATTGTACGTAACTGCCACTTGAAAAGTTTATCCTGTCCCTCATTTCCAAAATAACAATTTAGCCCTTAACCTACCTTTTTACTGGCTTGAAAAGACGAGCTTGTACGGATCTACCACTTGAAAACTCTATCCTGCCCCTCATTTCGAAAATAACAATTTAGCCCTTTAACCTACCTTTGTACTGGCTTGCTGATCGACGACCCCTTCACCACTGTTTTTTCACACAGCCACTTGCTCTGCTCGTCCGCTTCCTCGCCGAAATCGCAGCTCAAGCCGCCGCTATTGCTGTCCAGCCACGCATTTGTCTATCATCATCTTCATCACAATGCACTTTCCCTAAACAGTTGTGCTTTCCCGGGTTTGGTCTTCGTTGTTGTGAACCGAAAGCGCGATTTTGATTCGACCATCGAAAGTACAGATCTCTGCCTCGATCAATTTTAGTTTAAGTTTTGTCTCATTTTTGCTTCGGTCGAA